TTTCACACAGGGCCATGTAGGTTTGGATTTTTTTTCCCCTTAATAATAAAAACCTTCATTTAAAAACTACATTTTGTGTTTACTTGTGTTATCTTTGTCTAATATTTCAATTTGTTTGATGATCTGAAACATTTCAGTGTGACAAACATGCAAAAAAATAAGAAATCAGGAAGGGGGCAAACACTTTTTCACACCACTGTATACTAATCATCTGTGGGACCTCCCAGAGGTAGATATATTTATCCTGAACTGTTGTGAAACACCCTAATTGCATACAGGTGGACTCCATTCAACAAATTATGTGACTTCTAAAGAAGTGTGGCTGCACATGAGCCTATTTAGGTGTGTCATAGTAAAAGGTGGTGAATATTAATGCATCGGCTACTTTCTGTTTTAGATTTACAATAAAATTAGGAGTATGTGTAGAATTTTGTTTCAATTTGACATTATAGTGTTTTGTGTCGATCAATGGCAAAAAATCCCAGATAAATATATTGTGAATCTATACTGTAACACTGTAGAATGTGAGAAAGTCCACGAGGGGTGAATACTTTCGACAGCCACTGTAAATCCACCAGATATACTCCAGTCACTCCCACACAAGAGATTTCGCTCTTAAATCAACCCTTGCATCAACCTGTACAGCTGGCATAGCCTGAAATTAGTTTAACTCAGTGGCTCAGCTCGTACAGGCATCCAGAGCACAGGTTGAGCTCTCAGACCCATCATGACATGACCAAGCGCAGCTCAAACGCACCAGTGACCGCGATTTCCCAAGCAGCTGTACACACCCCACTGAGGGATAAGTCAGCTGCAGCTCCCTTTGGCTGCCAGTGAAAAGGCACCAGTAACATCACAGGTGCCTGCAGTGACGTCAGTGGGTGTTGTGACTCCTGCTAATCTGAAGCAGAACCTCCTGCTTTAATTGCGGAAACTGTGGCTTGTTTGAGTAGGTCAGTGGAAGGACAGGCAGAGCAGAATCACCTGGCTGCAGATCTTCCACTACGCGTGTGCATGTAAAAGGAGCATTGCAATGAGCAGAACAAGTATGGATTTCCGATCTGGTGAGTATAAACACCTGGCGATTCAAAGTTAAAAACAAAAAATACCAGAGTGCTCTTTTCATTTCTAAAATTGAAATAACAGCAATTCTGACATTTTTTTTTGTATTTTCTAATTTGTTATGCTTTTGAGAAGCCATTAAAAAGGTGAATAGCACACTAATGCGAACACAGGGTAATAAAAATACATGTTTGCATCATGTCCTTGGTCGAGGAAGGCGTTCAGTCTGTACAGGGACAGAGATGCTCAGTTTTGCTTGTGAGGGGCAAGTGAGGTCTATCACCGCAAGTGAGGTCGATCACAATGACAAAGCAGTGGTTGAAGCAGGTGGGGGAAGCAGTCGGAGAATGGCAACAGTAAAAGACTGGGGAAGACTTCTTCATTTTGATGCACTACTCACCTTAGTCCGTGTGTCAAAACAAGAGAAGAGTCTTCATATACACCATGGACGACACAAGCTGTGTGGAGGACCCTCTGTAACTCTAAAATACGCCTGACTCCTTTGCTTTCAGTGAATATTTCAGAGTTTGCATCTATTCCATTGTTTAATGGCATCTCCCTTTGTATCCTGTAAAAGTCATGGAAACGACTCTCTTTCCACTCCAGCTGCGCAGTTCCTGATAATCGCCTAACGGGGAATAGAGAAATGGATATGGACAAAAGAATGAGTGGCACGGAAATAGGAGGGCAAGGACGTGTAAGTGTATTAAGAGTTCAGATCTCAATACACTTACACGAGGTACACATTTACGGCTTTGAGATTTGCCACCCCATTTCATAAGAAAAAATAATGCCTAAGGCCTACCCAGAAACTGTCACGTTGCAGTGGTCTAGTTCTTGCCTCAGTTTTACGTCTCATCCGAAGGACGGTGCCTGTTTACAGTATAGTGTCCCCGTCACTACACTGGGGCATTAGGACCCACATGAGCTGCAGGGTAAGCGCCCCCTGCTGGCCCCACTAACACCTCTTCCAGCAGCAGCCTTAGTTTTTCCCAGGAGGTCTCTCATCCAGGTACTGACCAGGCTCACACCTGCTTAGCTTCAGTGGGTTGCCAGTTGTGAGTTGCAGGGTGATGTCTGCTGGCTTATGGAGTGCCTTTATGTGATGCAAAAGAGCAATAGGTTAACTTCACATCATGTTGCTAATAACACCAATCATGGCCTCCTAATAATCCCCATCTATGAATTGGCTTCATTACTCTGCTCTCCTCCCCACTGAGAGCTGGTGTGTGGTGAGCGTTCTGGTGCACTATGGCTGCCGTCGCATCATCCAGGTGGGGCTGTACACTGGTGGTGGTGGAGGGGATCCCCATTACCTGTAAAGTGCTTTGAGTGGAGTGTCCAGAAAAGTGCCATATAAGTGTAAGCAATTATTATTTTTATTTTTCTTTTACATTTATTCAGCAATTTATGTGATGCTGCACATGCAGTTCTAGGGCTGAATACCTCAGTTACTGTACTGATTCTAAAATCTCATGGTAATTGAGGCACCATTTAACCTCTACAGATTGAGTGGAACAACACGACCAGCTGCTGAATTGTCAGCTCTCTGTTTATGACACAGTTAATTACTGCAGCTCTGCTCTGCTGTGAGAGAACAGTTCCTGTTAGTTGTTAATCTTGACCATGACCCTGTTGTCACATCTTGCTACTGATTTCTCACAGCATGTTGTGTAATAATGTAATGATTAGCTGTGTATTCTTACAAAGACAAGACCATTTGTGAAAATGGGCAGTAATTGTTATTAAAATAATTTAGCATTTTGCGTACTTTGTAAGGAACAGGCCTTTATGTAAGTCAATATTTCACAAACTGACTGGGTGATGAAGAGGTCAGCATTTTGGAAACTACAATGTGTCCTTATGTTTATAATTTTACAAGTCAATTTGTTCAGTTTGCTTGTAAAAAGTTTTGCACTTTGGCACAGTCCTTTGAAAAATGCACCAAAGCATTTTGTTTTGTAAGAAACTGCAATGTTTATAAACCACAAGCTGCCTCAATGGGACAAGTAATGCTGGACAAAACAAAACGTCACAATCAATGACTCCAGAAAAGAGTATAACCGAGGACATGAAATCAATGTCTTTAGCATTGCAAATCATTGCATGATATCAAAGACTCATTGAAGAAGAACTGTAATTGCAGTTAACAGCAGCACAGTATTGCTGTCTGCTGCACCTCATTTATGCAACATTGAAATTTGTCATCTGGTATATACTGTAACAAGATAAATCATTTTATACACTGAATATATTTTAAAATATTCAGTTAAATCACTACTCTTACATTCTCCTACTCCTAAATAACTACTCCTAACTAATTGTCCTACAATTTGAACGTGACTGCATGAATACAAATTTGAAGAAAAGTATATATCTTGCAGATTTCTGTTTAAAACAGAAATATCCCTGGCTTTCTCATAATGCCTAGAAATAACGCATTTAAAGTTCTTGTGTTAAGGCGTGGGCGTGTCTCATCCAGCCATTCGTTGAAGGAAACCACAGTTTCGCCTAAATCTTTCTGTGTTCACTTCTAGTTTGGTCTCGTCTGATTTTCATCTCAATTTGTAACTCTCAACAGACAAAACTACGGATTTATTTAGGAAGAGCAGAAGTCCTTAGACACGTCCCTGTGGCACTACATTTATGACACCATAGCATTTTACACTTTCAAACCTTATCTGGACTCCGTTTTCTATTTAGAGAGAGAGAGAGAGAATTCGCTATCTGCACAGACTATTAAACTAGAATCGTTACGATAGCTTTGCTTGCTTTGTGGGTCAAGTAAGGTGATTCACGCATGGTCAAAACTAAATATTAACACCGGTTTCCTATGTTTTATAGCTGAAATTAACTAAATGTATATGGCGAAACTGGCGTTTAATTCACGTGTTTGAAATAAACGTCTTGTTTTGGTTTCTCACCGGAAAGATGATGGTTTCTCCCGCAACCTTGTAGGACCCAAATTATGGCAAGAGGGGCTGGCTTAGTAGTGCCTGTTTGAGGGTTGCGCATGCGTGGAGTGAGATGGAAGAAGATACCACTATGAGGGGGTAGCATTTTCTTTAAAACATTTATCTACGTTGAAGGATTAACGGCATTTTATTTTTGCTACTAAAATGTTGATTGTCAAATTGTGTATTTATTGGAGAAAGGTGTATGTCAGGGTTCTGCTCATGACTTTGTATAATTTATTTTTGCTTTGTACTGGAATCTTCTAGGGGGAGGAGTTTTACCTAGATAAGGAGCTCGAGATAGGAGATAGGAGGAAGTTTGTAGTTGTGCTGAGTAGGAGCTGTTTACAGCAATCAATTTAAAAAAAATAATCAATTAATGTATCTATTCTTGTAACTATAGTTTGTGTTTTTTCCCCTTTAGTTAATTTGTATTTTTCACAGGATGTTGGGAACACATCTGCATCGCGTCTGCACTTCTGAACTACAGAAGGACGAGACTGTGACAACCCCGTTCAGTTTAAACCAACATACAGCTTTCCATGCCTGCCATCTGCGATTTTCAATTTATCTGTCATTAAGAGGTTCCAACAAATTAAACAATTATTTTGTCAAACGCCTTGAGAACCGAGCATATTCAATATAGAACTAGAACGTTCACTAGAGAAAACCCTAGTACATTGCCTCCCTATCCTGGTGACGCAGGGCCACTAGTTCCTACTAGTTTTCATTCCAGCTGAGCATAATTACCCAGTTGTAGCTTTGATTTTAATATTTTCAAGTTTATTTTCCTTAAAAGTTTGGGTGTCACACCCAGGCTGGGTGTGACTCATGTCCTGCCTATTGCCAGGATCTCCTGGAGATCCCCGACGCCTTGCACTTGGGTCTTGACCTGTCAGGCCACTGCAGCATAACATTGGGGTTTTATTTTACTTATGAAAAAGTTCAAAGCCAGCCTCTGAAATGTTCGAGAACTGAAACAAGATGGATCAAGTCAGTTCAGGGTTCCGTTATGCAACAGAGCTCCAGGTGGAGGTGTGTGATCCTCCAGAACTGTGCGAAAAGAGTTTTATATATAGATGCTTTTATTTCAAGTTCAAGTTTATTGTCATTACACTCATATACATGGCATATGGTATAACGAAATGCTATTTAGCTAGCTCTCGGACATAAGTAGTACAAAGAGAAAAAAAACAACAACAACAATACAATTGTGTAGCAAAAGAAAGACAGAGACAACAGGCAGTGTGCAAAAAACAACAACAGATGATGTGCAAAAA